AGCATGTAAGTTTGGCAGTGTTATTTTTTAGGATTACTGATAAACTAATGTAGTTTTATTTGTATTATTTGTATTTGTTATTTATTTGTTATCTGAATTTATTCTGACTGTATCTTTTATTAAGTTTTTAGTTTTATTTAATTTGAGTTATTTTAATTCTTCAACCTAAATGGAAATGAAATATATTGAATTTATAAATGTGTGTGTATATATATATATATATATATATATATGTATATGTGTGTGTAGTTGTACATACACACATATGTAGTTGTTTTTTTTGGTGTTTGGCTTAGTGTTATGTTAGAATCATTATTATACTCTTATACCTTTTGTTCTTTAATATTTTGAATTGTTTTTAGCTTTATTTTTTGTTTTTCTTTTAAATGTTAAGTTTTGAAATTTTGTTGTATGCATTTGTCATTTTTATTTAATCTCTTTATTTTTCAAATGTGTATAGGTAGTATTTATAAAGTTTTAGCTTTTAGTTTTGGATCTGTTTTTAGTTGTTTTAATACTACAATTGATTGCTTCTGTTGTCCTCATTTGTAAGTCGCTTTGAATAAAAGCCTCTAATAAATGACTAAATAAATAAAATAAATAATAATTTAATCACCACCACAGCGTCTTGTCTCCATTGGCAACAAGCACGATTTGTGTCGATTGCAAGTGACTTCGTAATTTAGTTTCTTTTTTCTTGTCTTCACCACCTGGCTACTGTTGTAAAATGTTGAGAGATTCAAACAAAAAGAAATCAATAAATAGAACAAAATAAAAAATAATAAAGACTGCAAGTGACGTCGCTAGCGGAAGTGCAAGTGTCTGAGAATGCAGAAGTCTGAGAATGCAAGTCTGAGAATGCACGTCTGAGAATGCACATCTGAGAGTGCAAGCGCCAGCTGCAGCCAGACCCTTTTGGCTGCTGTTGGTTATTGCTGTAGTTGTAGATTATTGCTGCTTTTGCAAGCAAGTACAGGAACTTGCTACTGCCAATGCATACGGCGATACAGTGCCATGAGTATTTGACATACTGCTGCTGCACAAATAGCATATAAAATAACCTGTAGCAAATCTGTACAGGTGGAGCTGGGGAAGGTGGAGGGTTTCAGAGAACTCTGAAAGCGAGCTGCAGGAATCTCAAGTGAATGCTATATACATGCAAGGCAGTAAGCTCATTGGCTGCATATGCAGCATGAACCAATCAGCTTGTGCCAAGTCGTTTAACTCTCTGAATATCATCAGTTACGTTAACACCCCATCAGCCTGCGCCATCTAGAGTTTCATGACTGAACTATATATTTTTCTTAAATAAGACATGCTCCCTATCTACAGGTCTTACTGTTCTCATATAATATATAACTGTGATGTTCTGCAAAACAAGCTTTCAAACACTTTTATTTCTAAATCCTCAGGTAAATCACCAGAGTAAGCTTCATGGTGAATACTTCTACATCACTCGTGTCAGTGTAGTCCATAATTACAACAAAAATTTAGTTCGACTTTATCTAGTGGTTATTTTGGGAAAAAAAGTAGGGGGTGTTTCCCCCACTCTACCCTACCTATGAAAAAGACAAAGAAGCAGGGCATGTTGTCATACTCTATGGGATGTGTTGTTCAGCATTTTTTTCCCCCATGGCATTTTACAAGAAGTGTTTCGTATTCATATGTAAACTTACACTTATCATAATCATTCCCTTGAATGTACATATCTTGTCAAGGCCCAAAACCTCCATACATCAGAATGACTGTAGTCTATAAAGAGTAACTTATGCATTACAATGAACACAATATCAAAGATATTTCATGTCAATCGTATTTTAATTGTTTACTGAGATCGTTTAAAACTGTAAAGCAATATCCACACAATGTAAAGCACACAATTGAATCTCCTGATTCATCTTCACAATGCACATGTAGAGTCTCAGAGTTGTTCGTAGCCTTGGCCACGGCGTTCTCGGACAAGCACAAACGTCAGAATGGCAATGAGGCAAACTGCCGCAGCTACAGCACCCAGAATAATGGGGATCATGCGCTTGTTGTAATCCTCCCAGCACTCCACCTCTGAAATGAAGACATGAGAAATCATGTTATTCCGGGGTAACAGAATATATATGTGTTTACATTTATATGCATAGTGAAAAATAGCATCTCTGCGGTCTACAATGTGAGATGTATGTACCTTTTCCAAACGCTCCATTAGCCAGATCAAAGGCTTGAATCTGCAGTGGCACCAGTTTGACTCGGAAGTAGCTTGCCAGTATCAGAGTCATCTGAGACATTTGAGTTATTTTAATACTTCAAACTAAATGGAAATGAAATATATTGAATTTATAAATGTGTATATATATATACATATATGTATGTATGTGTGTGTGGTTGTACATACACACATATGTAGTTTTTTTTTGGTGTTTGGCTTAGTGTTATGTTAGAATCATTATTATACTCTTATACCTTTTGTTCTTTAATATTTTGAATTGTTTTTAGCTTTATTTTTAGTTTTTCTTTTAAATGTTAAGTTTTGAAATTTTGTTGTATGCATTTGTCATTTTTATTTAATCTCTTTATTTTTCAAATGTGTATAGGTAGTATTTATAAAGTTTTAGCTTTTAGTTTTGGATCTGTTTTTAGTTGTTTTAATACTACAATTGATTGCTTCTGTTGTCCTCATTTGTAAGTCGCTTTGAATAAAAGCCTCTAATAAATGACTAAATAAATAAAATAAATAATAATTTAATCACCACCACAGCGTCTTGTCTCCATTGGCAACAAGCACGATTTGTGTCGATTGCAAGTGACTTCGTAATTTAGTTTCTTTTTTCTTGTCTTCACCACCTGGCTACTGTTGTAAAATGTTGAGAGATTCAAACAAAAAGAAATCAATAAATAGAACAAAATAAAAAATAATAAAGACTGCAAGTGACGTCGCTAGCGGAAGTGCAAGTGTCTGAGAATGCAGAAGTCTGAGAATGCAAGTCTGAGAATGCACGTCTGAGAATGCACATCTGAGAGTGCAAGCGCCAGCTGCAGCCAGACCCTTTTGGCTGCTGTTGGTTATTGCTGTAGTTGTAGATTATTGCTGCTTTTGCAAGCAAGTACAGGAACTTGCTACTGCCAATGCATACGGCGATACAGTGCCATGAGTATTTGACATACTGCTGCTGCACAAATAGCATATAAAATAACCTGTAGCAAATCTGTACAGGTGGAGCTGGGGAAGGTGGAGGGTTTCAGAGAACTCTGAAAGCGCGCTGCAGGAATCTCAAGTGAATGCTATATACATGCAAGGCAGTAAGCTCATTGGCTGCATATGCAGCATGAACCAATCAGCTTGTGCCAAGTCGTTTAACTCTCTGAATATCATCAGTTACGTTAACACCCCATCAGCCTGCGCCATCTAGAGTTTCATGACTGAACTATATATTTTTCTTAAATAAGACATGCTCCCTATCTACAGGTCTTACTGTTCTCATATAATATATAACTGTGATGTTCTGCAAAACAAGCTTTCAAACACTTTTATTTCTAAATCCTCAGGTAAATCACCAGAGTAAGCTTCATGGTGAATACTTCTACATCACTCGTGTCAGTGTAGTCCATAATTACAACAAAAATTTAGTTCGACTTTATCTAGTGGTTATTTTGGGAAAAAAAGTAGGGGGTGTTTCCCCCACTCTACCCTACCTATGAAAAAGACAAAGAAGCAGGGCATGTTGTCATACTCTATGGGATGTGTTGTTCAGCATTTTTTTCCCCCATGGCATTTTACAAGAAGTGTTTCGTATTCATATGTAAACTTACACTTATCATAATCATTCCCTTGAATGTACATATCTTGTCAAGGCCCAAAACCTCCATACATCAGAATGACTGTAGTCTATAAAGAGTAACTTATGCATTACAATGAACACAATATCAAAGATATTTCATGTCAATCGTATTTTAATTGTTTACTGAGATCGTTTAAAACTGTAAAGCAATATCCACACAATGTAAAGCACACAATTGAATCTCCTGATTCATCTTCACAATGCACATGTAGAGTCTCAGAGTTGTTCGTAGCCTTGGCCACGGCGTTCTCGGACAAGCACAAACGTCAGAATGGCAATGAGGCAAACTGCCGCAGCTACAGCACCCAGAATAATGGGGATCATGCGCTTGTTGTAATCCTCCCAGCACTCCACCTCTGAAATGAAGACATGAGAAATCATGTTATTCCGGGGTAACAGAATATATATGTGTTTACATTTATATGCATAGTGAAAAATAGCATCTCTGCGGTCTACAATGTGAGATGTATGTACCTTTTCCAAACGCTCCATTAGCCAGATCAAAGGCTTGAATCTGCAGTGGCACCAGTTTGACTCGGAAGTAGCTTGCCAGTATCAGAGTCATCTGAGACTTGCATTGGAAGCTTAGGCCATTTTTTGCTTTGAATAGCTTGTCGTGATTTACAACTCCAACGTAGGTTTTATCTGTGGATTAAGTTTGAAAAATATACTTAGAGGTGAAGTTTTGTGTCAAAATGCATTCTCTTAACCCAATTTATTGTTGATTAACTAATATAAGTATGACATTCATAGGTTAATCCCCCCCAAAAGTGTAAACAGTGAGCCTCCCAGTCATCATTTAGACGTCAACTAAAAAAAGTAAAATTTTTATGCGTTTTGGCTGTTTATTAAAATGACAGGAGCGTTTTGAGGACCTGAAAATGCAACCTTTTGAAAACTATGGAAGGCAGACGGTGCCAAAACTCTATAAATGGAAAGCATGAAATTTGACCATGTCAACACACACGGGTTGTCAGCGTCAACGCGTCAATTCTGAGCGTGTTTCTTTTGTATGTGTCACATATTAATATTTACTTTATTTCATTGCATAATTGCTTTACTGATATCTACTGTGCTAGAGTAAATTAATTAATGTTACAATATAAATTAAGACTTTTCTACCTGTGAAAGAACGTTGAACTAAACAACTAAGGCTACGTCCACACGAAGCTAGAGGTTTCCCTATCCGATCTTTTTTTCCTCCTTGTCTCAAGAAATATCTGCGTCCACACGAAACCGACACAAAACGATGTAGTATACATGCCAGACTAGCATGTGGTGCTGTATTTCTGCCACAGAGATACACTAAAAACGGAGAAGAAGACTTGGACTATGTGCATAAACCTTGTGCGCGGTATACAAACAAACATGGAACAATACGTTTATTACTCTGTGTTAATGTTAGTTAATAAAAAGACAATCGTTCAGAGTTTGTTCATGTTTTTGTTGCTGTTACGTGACGTAGCGGTGTCTGACTAGGGCCGAGACGTGGGCTGATGATTTCAGAAAATATACGGATTTGCTGTCCACATGAAAACACAAGGGCAGCGTTTTTAGATTTATCCACTCTGCGAACCGGTTTAAAAAAATATCGGTTTTACTCTCCCAAAACGCCGGATCCGTCTGGACGAAACGCCTATACGATACAAAATGTATGCGTATACAGCTAAACGCATCTCCGTGTGGACGGGGCCTAAATCAGACAAATTTCACACATTCCTTTTAAAGACTTTTGGCCACGTCCAATTGTGAAAACGGTGATGTTCAGTTTATAGCTATGTGCGCACACACGTAGTGTTTCTTTATAAAGTGACATCGCCACCTACTGGCCTGGCATGAATAATATAGCATTTTTAGTCATTTTTGTGGATCCCATGAATGTTGAACGTTGTCATCTGTATGCAAAACTTTAGTTTTTAGTACATTGTTGTCATGTAAATGTACCATTAGAGCATTATGCTCAAATCTGTCAATCTCTTTCCAGCTCAACCAATAGTGAGAGATTGGGGTGTGGCTACTGTAGCAGGCTGAGCCAGAGGCTGTTTTTTTGCGAACGTGGCTGACGCTATACATGGGAAAAATAAATCTGAAGACTTGCCAAAATACACAGTGACAGACAACGGTGTATAACAAGAGTAAACATCAGCTGTGTTTTTACAAGACGGAGGAACTTGAGGGAATGTTTGGGTTTCAATCGAGACGCCGAATGTGTGGAGTTTCTTCTCGACAGGTAGGCGAAACTCATGTTTTTGCCACATTTTAACTCTTTATTGTCAAGCCCTAGATAAAATAGTAAGATATTCTAAGGATAAGAATAATCGTGAGTGCGTGATGAGTGTATTTGCAAAGGTTGTAGTGTAATTTATACTTACTCTGGCAATTTTTACAAGGGGGAGCTGGTCTCAGAAGCCCTTTGATAGTGCTCACATAGGAAAGATCGCCTTCCTGGGAGTGTGAAGAAATATTGCATTGTATGTTGATTAAGATTGCTTGTTTTGTACATGTTTAACCCCAGAGAGAAAGCTTATCATAGAGATAAAAGCTACTGTAGGTACCTTGATGAAAGTGAACTCCAGATGTCCACCATCAAAATCCAGTGAGAGAATAGACTTTTGGTTCCCACAGAATCCCGTGGCTCGTGTTGAGCTGGGATTCATGTTGAAATAATAGTTCTTCTGGAATACAAGTTAAGCAGTGGGATTACTGGACCAACATCATGTTAGTATGGAAATCCTGTCAAATTGACAATATCGTTGATCTAAAAAGATCAAGGCACTCAAATTTGGTGTAGCTGCACAGAATTTGTAGACATAGCCTATGTTCGACTGTACTCTTTGAGTCTACTGAATGCATGCACACAGTGAAGAAGATATTCACAGAAAACTTGTTGAAAGACGTTTTGATCCACTGGCTGTGCTAGAGATTATGAGAGGACAGTTTTGACAAACATCACATGAACAAACATTATGGGGGTCTACGCACCTCCTGCGGCTATTAAACACAACTGGAATTAAATACATAAAAGCGATGGCAGTAGAATAGAATCAAGCTCTTGCCTTGAATAGTAAACAATGGGAATACCTATGTTCGACTGTACTCTTTGAGTCTACTGAATGCATGCACACAGTGAAGAAGATATTCACAGAAAACTTGTTGAAAGACGTTTTGATCCACTGGCTGTGCTAGAGATTATGAGAGGACAGTTTTGACAAACATCACATGAACAAACATTATGGGGGTCTACGCACCTCCTGCGGCTATTAAACACAACTGGAATTAAATACATATAAGCGATGGCAGTAGAATAGAATCAAGCTCTTGCCTTGAATAGTAAACAATGGGAATATTTATTAATAATATTCAATAATTTAAGTTGATTAATAATATCCCAATATTCTGTTTAATCGAAAGATGTCTATATTGTTAAAAAGACATACACTT